TCAATACGATACGAGAGTGAACACAATGCGGTCAATGCACCGTTAAAATAATGAGCTTGTAGGAAGGACCTCCAAACCAAAGAACACGTTCGATGACTTGGACGAGGTGACAAGGTACGCGACAAAACTCGCTTTCAGAATTCGCTTCGGTGAAAGCCGTACATACCAACGTTTATACGGATCATAGCAGCATAGCATGACAAATTGTAAACCGTTAATAAAAACATTCTTATGTACAGTTGAGCGTCGACGAATGATTTTTTCCGTTCGTCGTATTCATTATGGTAAACATATATTTTCTTTGCATCTTGTAACCGTAAAATATTAATAAGTTTATATAATAATAATAATATTGTTCATAAATGTGAATTATAATTATAAATTTCAAATACATTTCGAAATAACATTACAATAATTATTTCTTTTTTATGTCGCTGAAATTTCAGAGAACTTGTATCTACACTCGTGATCAATTTATGAAAATATATCCGAGACATAATTAGACACATCGAACATCCAGGAAAACGATCGCGTGCTTATAATGTGACCTTTTACAAAAGAACATCAAAAATATATGTTGCGTTCATGCGCGGATAACGTAACATTCATTCGCGTTATAAAAGCCTAGCAATTGTAGTCAGTGCGTATAGAATTAAATCTGATATTGATAACATTGATATACTGCATCAACATCAACGTCAGCATGAAAGTCGAATTGATTCATCGACGATGATGTGCGCTTTGCTTGAACGCTCATTTAGAGCAATCGATATAGATTTCAAACAATAAACGGTTATGATATTAATTCTACTTGTTTATTGACAATCACTACTCGCTAGTTGTAATGATAATATGCTGGCAATTAATAGTTGTTGGTTAAAATGATTGCGCAATTCGCGTTCTCATTCAAACATCAGCGCATAATGAAACGTTATTGATTACAGTGAAATTGTAAAAAGCAAATATATAAGATAATGAATTATTTCATTATTTATTTTAACTTACATTCCCCTTCAAATAATATAATAAATATAACGAAGTTATAAAAAATTTCAAGAAAATATTAAATTTTGTTTTATATATATTATATTTATTATTATATTATTCAATTTGTTATTAAAATCACTAATTTATTTTCTATGATAAGCTTAAAAAAATATGTCTACTAATGTCAAACACTAAAATTTCGAAAGTACGTGCTGCAGTGAAAAATTAAAATAAAAATTACTGAAATAAAACCGCGAAACATGCAACTGACAAATCACGCGATTACAAAATTATAAGTGTATTCATCTAACTTTTACTAGCTTTTACACTGTCAAAGTTGACATTCAAATGCAATCAATGCATGCTTTTGTCTATTCGCATTCAAGATGTATTGTACAATTTCTAGGTACAAACTCAATAAATAATTGTAGTTAGTATAACAAATAATTTCAAATATATCCGTATTTATTAATATACATATTATACTTATATCGATTATTAATTTTATATATTATTTATTAAAGAAGAGGAGAGAATTCATTTTATTATATATAATATTTATATGTTATATACAAAATATTAATTTTTAAAATCTTTATACATACACATATATAATTAATTTGCATATCTCAAAACTTTAGTTTTTTATTCTTAAATTCATTTCTTTGTAGTTATCTGAAAATGTTTACGCTTTCTTTACTCTTTTGTATTAGTTTTTTTCAAAGATAAATATAAACAAGAAATGATTCTTTCGTTAATGAGATCACATTATTATTTCATAAAAACGCTTTGAAGCACCAAGTCGAATAATGAAAGGGAATGCTCTTAGCGTGAAAGCGCATAAGATGAACGTACCCTATGACTTTCAAATGAATAGACGTAACTAGGAAACGAAGATGGATGGATATAAAGCAACAACGCATAATCAGTGAAAATGAATCTTACGAAACGTTTTACGTATAACCATATTATTATTATCAGCGAAAATGCCTGCTAATAATGTACCTAACAATGATTATTTCAATATCATACATTTCGAGTAAAATGATACCTAACATCGCCGCGAGAGAAATAAAACTCTTTTCAATGCAGAAGATATACAATTAAAATTATATAATGTCATTTAAAATAATATACAAAGAAAAAAATGAATGTTTAAAAAAAATAAAATTTTTTACGCGTTTGTATGTTTTATTTTAAAATGCATTGTACGTGTGTGCGTGCATGTAAAAAAAAGCATATTTTATCTCATAAATTGTCCTATTCGTAACGACACAAGTTTCTCTGACAGAAGTTCGTAACAGAACAACACAGTAAGCTACGTCATTTGATATTTCCACGCTATTGCTACTACAATGTTGCCAAGGATATTGCGTGACTCTATATCCTGTCTCGAATCAAATGATGAATGGCGAACGATTCGCGCAACGAATGCAGCGGAAACTTAATTGCAAGACCGCATGCTCACCGACTGATAATTATTATTTTTCGATCATGATCAAATTAGTGCGCGTCGATTATATCGGAGTTGCAAGTCATCTCCCCTTTTCATTTCTGCAAAAAAAAAAAACAAAAAAAACGAAAACAGTATTTTTTATATGGCGAGTAGTAACTAAAATTTTCGTAAACGTACGATTTTCCAATTAAAATATCACATACGCTTGCGATCGATAATGCCGTAAAACTGCAAATCGAACGAGATACGTAGAAGACTGCAAATTCCATGCATTTTTATTCAGTGCAAAAAAGAGGGACGGAAAAAATGGAAATGACGAAAATTAAATAAAATCGGACCCGGATACCATGCAGGCGAGTAGTATCATGCAAAATCTATTTGAATATAACGAATTATCAGCTTACATTGCCCGCACAGTAAACTTCAATTAAACCGTTTAGCAATTCTGAAAATGGTATATATTACGTAAAATTATGGTAATTTAAAACAAACCAAAAATTCTAGCAATTGAATGTGTATGTGCGTGTGTTTGTATAAAATAAAATTAAATATATAATCTACCACGAGAGTAATTCAATTTTATATGTATTTTATTATTTCACGAACTAATATTTGATATCAGTCTCAATAAAAAAAATTATATAAAATATATGATTTTGAATAATTGTGAATAGTAAATAAAAATGCCAATAACAATATGAAAATAATTTTAACTTCGTGAGGTGCATTCAGAACTTTAAACAGAACTGCCAAAACTTTCAAATATTTTTTGTCCATTATCCAACATATGAAAAATTGAGATAACTTTTAAAATATTGGTTTTCCAATATCGTGTTATAAAAAATCTTACAAGTCCTAAAGATAACTCTTAACACTTGAATCGCTAAAATCAATATTTCATCAGTGTCGTATATTTTTCGTACGTCGAATCAAATCATTTTTAAGTTCCGATAAGTAAACATTTTTTTCGAAATTTTGGCTTTTTGAATAATATTTCACAAATTTCAATGGCTCTTAATTCTTGAAGGGTTAAAATATTTCAAAAATTATCACGATTTTTCGTATGTCGAATAACAGACAATAATTATTTTAAATTCTAGCAGAATTTTATTAAGAATTCTGGATAACACCACAAAAGTTCTAAAAGAGATCCCATTAATGGCAAAAAAATTAATTATGTTTAATAGTTAATTTCAATTATTCGAAATTTATAATGTTATTTATTTAGAGATTTCGTTTTGTGAAGTTAGCACCTTAAAGAATCATGAATTGATTCTTTATATAGCTTTAATTCAAAGAGCAATTTACAAAATTAATAAGAGATTCTAAAACTCTTCGTGTATTCAACTCTTCGCATTCAGAATTTTAATAAAAATATTAATCTTTTAAAAGATGAGATGCCAACTTCACAGAGAGAGGGAGAAATATATTTTAGCAGATATTTTCATTCCATGTATGTATGTATGTGCATCGACACGAAAAAGATACAGAACGCTTTCTTATATATTTCGTCATTTTATTCGCATGCTAGCACAAATGCGATATTCACATCAGAATGATCTGCGATTTCTTCGAGTGTGCAATTTAAAACTTGCTCCAAAATTGAGTTTTATGCATATATGTATTTATGCATATAAAGTTTGCAAGTCAGCGGAGAAGCGTTAGGTAGTGTCCTTTTTATAAGAGCACTACACACAAGTCGTTATGATCCTATAGTTTTTATAGAAGTAATTTGCATGCAGAGCGTAGAGTAGCGCATTGTGCTAGGAGATTGAACTTCTCGAGGTCAATTTAAAAATCCCGGTTCATTATTTTGCGAAACATAGCGTAGATATCGGCGCAAGCGGAAACTACCTTCGCGAAAAAGTGGCCTCTCACACTTCCAGTTTTCGTGGAAATAGTAGTAGTTCTCTCTAACACTATAAGATTTTTCACGAGAACTCCATGAAAAGATATGATTTAAATAGTCAAGATAAGGTTTTATGAATTCGCAATAAAGGGGAATCTCTTGCACGGAACAGCAACAAGAAGGCAATTTTAATACATCAGAAATACGTTTACATACTTACGTGTTTATACATTTACAATACAGAGATATTATCAAAAAAGCTTTAAAATAATATTTTTTTCTCGATTTCTTTGATAAAGATTATATATATCATTTTTCTGATTTTTTATTTAAATATTTTTTATCAAAAGCATTTAAAAAAGAGAATTTAATTAATGAATAATATTAAGTTGGTACTTTAAATTAAAATTTATATTAAAATTATACTAATAAACTTGAAAAAACTGCGAAAAATGTAACCCATAGAGAATTAATGCAAATAATTATGAGAATATTCATTAATTTTTTTCTTACTTTTTCATAGAACTAGCCTTTCATAATAAAAATGTATACTTTTAATTTTAGTTTATTATTGCAGAACATTTTTTGTATATCCTGAAGATATCCGATGTATATGTTTTCATTTTTTTTATAAACAGGTACATACATATGTCGCTGTTTATTCCTCTTCAGCAACAAAAAATATTTTTCAAATTAAAAATGACTGACCTCTTTCACTTTGTCCCTTCGTTGTCTGGCAACGTGATCCTTATCCTCTCCGCCGACAGTTAATGGCAGTTTATCCGCGGGTGCTGGTGGCACTGTCACTAAAATTGTCTCTTCCTTATGCACAATCAATGACGACGAACTACTCGTACGCACTCGCGATTCACCCATGTCCGGTTTTTCTAATGTCTTATGCTGCTGATACTCCTCATCGATTTTTGCCTAATAATTCGGATCCAAAATGTATTCATGCGATGCATTGCGATCGTGTTTTAGATGGCACGCAAAATCCGCACGATATATATGTGTTTAATTAACAATCATTGAAGACATACGATAAAAATCAAAATGAATTAATTTTACTATTTATAAATTTTACATTCAATTTTATACTTAATTAAATTCAAAATTGAATAAGAAAATATATTATACAAAGACAGAATCGATGAATTCCGTGAATTTAATAATGCACTACTATCAAAAGAATATACAGAAAATATTCAAATAAAAATAATTTTTAAACGAGAGTATCAAAATAACATTTTGCCATTTTATTGTTTGTAAATTTATTTTCTATTCTAACAATATTATATAAATAATATTGATAAATGCAATATTATATAAATTATTGGCAATTCGTTTACACTAATTTTTTACTTAAAAATAATAATCAAAACCAATTCATATATATGTATCCGTACAATAAATAAAAAGAATACATTCTTTAATAATATTAATAATCAATATCAATTCTAATCTAAAAGATTATTTACATTAGTATCTAGACTAAACGTGCAGATTAAAATTAGTTGGATTTTCGTGACTGCTTTTGTTATCTCTACTGATTTATAATATAACTGATAATTATGTAAATGAATATTGTTAATTTATTTTTACTCAATTTTATTAATTTAAGATATTTAATTTGTAAGACACCACTTTGAAAATTAAGAGACTAGTGCATTTCCATAACAATCACACGTGCCATCTATACGCGACCTACATTCCACGAAAGTACACTCCTCGCCTTATGCACCTCCGAAGAAGTGCATACTCTCGAACACCTTACCGTTATGTCGTTGCCAAAGAAAAGAAAATAAAAGAGGAGAAACATACGAGAACTACTTTTGTAACAGAGCCTGTTCTTGTTTATTCTCATTATTCTTTTCAAGATTTTCGTCATTCTCTATATTTAGCTTCATTTCTACTAGATTTCAGGAATAATTAATTTCTTTAAAAAACATTAATAAAAAATCAATATCGTAATTTATCAGACATTACTAATCATAATAAAATATCGTCACTAATATTCACATTAAGTAAATACATTCTCTTTATATATATGTATATATATCTTAAAAATTATTATTTTATAACGACTATTTATATATGCAAACGCGCATTTGTCTCGCACGATGTACGCGAATATTGCTCCAATTTGGACTAACTATCTCATATTTGTCGCGTTATATTTTCTTTCACGATACTAACACAGAGTTCCGTTGACGAATCACATTTCACTTCATTAGTAAGTGCGTTTTTATTTACCGCATCTATGTTTCGAAACTCGGAATGTAAAAAAAATTCAAACGTTGCATTTTGCGTGAGTCATTGTCAGCTTTAATATATTGTGCAGCGAGTTAGGATATTGTCAATTAAAATGATGCAATTTACAAGATTTCAGAACCGATAACCAACGCAGCGAACGAGCACCTTGTTTATCTTAATTAAAAATAATCGCATCCGTTCTTTGCAAAGCGTGTTATCGCAAATCAACTACGTTGTCATTTTTTGAAAAAATTATGATTTATAACGAAAAAGCGCCATAAGGGGAGGCGTAACAAAACAAGAAAACATTCATGGTTATTATTTTTCTGCGCAAAAGAAATGAATAACAAAACCGGAAACGATAACGATGGAATAAATCTCTATTTTGCGCGTTTGCAAACAAGATAAATTACATTTGCCACGTGCAGTCTAATTTCGCGCTTATCTGTATCAATTAACATCTCGGACGAAAAATTTAATATTAGTATTTTATCAAAAAAAGTCTAATTGATAATAGTCAAAATTGGTAATACAAAATATATCATAAACAAACATCAATATTCACAAATTTGTATCAAAAATCGAAAACAAAAAAATGTTTCTATTTTCTATGTATATTCAACAAGTTCTTTCAAATCTTATAATTTTCTCTCTCTTTCTTATTTCTTTCAAATTTATTATTAATATGTTAGAAACGATTAGCTATTGTTTCTAAGACAATACTCAATTATAATTTTAGATTGTTAGAGCACAGCAATTTCAATCAATTATAATTCGTCTATATCGATATTCCGTCGACACGTTGCCTTACGAGGGCAAGATCACGGCACGACCTACTCAAGTTGAATAGAAGAAAAAGAATACTCACGAAACGGGACTTTTGATGTACAAACACGCATGAATAAGAAAGCATAACAGATATCATGCCGTCTCCTTTACGAGCGAAATCGGTTCGACTTTGACCCCGACGAATTCGAACGAGTTTTAGTAATTAGTTGAGATTTTATTTCAATATGTGTCTATATTTAGCAGATAAATATGGAATCATAAAAAATGAGCAATATATTAAAACTACGTTAAAATAAAAAATAAAATTAAAAAATTTGAGTAACGTCTCCGCGATATGTATGATAAGTATAGAAATATTCTAATTAAAATATTCTAATAATAAAATATATATACGTTTAAAAAATGTAGAAATTAAATTTAAATGACTGTTAATCGAATAAGCTAACTTTTGTTAATCACGATACTATTATTTCAAAATCGAATCAAACAATAAATATTTACATATTTATTCACAAATGTTATATATGATATTTCTTCACTTTACAAAACAAACGAGGATTAACGAAAGATCGTTATCGCTATTCATTGAGACGCGATCGTGAACGGAATGACAGCGCGTGGAGTCCCGCGCACGTGCGTCAGCCATGCACGCCACAATGGCTGTATGTAAACAAACGGAGTACGATTTCGCGTAAAAGAAATTACTATTGTAAACATCGCAAAAAACGCGCGAGAATTAAACGAAATCGCGCGAAACCAGTCATCTATTCCTAGCTAGTGTCAAGCGAGGTGTTCGAGAGAATCGCAATTCGAGAGGGAATCGATTTAAAGCGAGCGCGTAAATTCATACCTGCAGCTTTTGCTTATCCTCAACCAGGTGCACGTCCTGGTGATCACTGTCCTCGTGACCGGGCGGCACCGCATTCGGGTGTCCGCCCGCGAAGGAACGGGAGTCCTTGCCATCGCCGGAGGCTCGCGGTGGCACCGGTAGCAGCAGCTCCGGTCCCGCCTTCTGCATACGTTGATAGACACGGTAGACACTGTTCACGGCCGCGCCGCCGGTGCGAAAATCCGGGAGGAAGAAGAACGCGCCGAAACACACGATGCCGAACGTCAGGAATACCAGGAGGATCAGGTACTTCTCGCGCGGACGGAAGGACCGTCTCGTGAACAACGGCACCGGCACGCCGTTCGCGAAGCGCTGGTACGACGGCAGCGCACCGGCCGTCGTGGTCATCTTACCGCGAACACTCGACACCCAGGCAACGCGCCGCGGCACTTAATCACCACCCAGGTGTTGCGGATCCGCGAAAACTCGAGCACCCGTCCGCGTTTCGCCTGTGCTGTCTCAGCCGTCATACGCCATTACGAATGCGAGCACCACCTGCGTGCCGCGGTTGACATCTGGCTGGGGAACGCCAGCGCCGATCAGCTGACGTGGCGCGCGCGGGAGACAGCGGCCACGTGACCGCGCCGTCGCTCGCGACCGTAACGTCACGTATACGTCAGATTGCGCGCGAAATTTGACTCGGTATCGATGACTGAGAAAAGCGCGCCCTTTTGCCGTCGCCATTTTGTGGCTCATCTTTGCATGTATATGTATATGTATGTATGTGTGACGAAAAGATGATATGCAAATTGAGACTTTAAACTTTACTGTATCCTTACTGCGAGCTACTTTTCATATTAAATGAAAAAGAAATAAAGAACATTTCACTCACAATAATGTTAATATCTCCGATCATGATCATAAAACGGCAGCAAAATGTTCGACGATCCTCCGGCATTTTCCATCTCTCTCTGTTCAGGCAGTCCAAATTTTGTTAGATTCCGATTTCGACACTTATTCGCGAATTAATGCATTTCATTTTTATAGCACTTAACCGAATTATTTCACTACCGACGCGATACTGCAACAACATATATATTATAAACACGGCACACATACACACACACACGACACTTTATCGCAGCACTCGAGGTACATTTTCTCACGAACACTTTCGATCGCGATATTATTCACTACTTGTACGTAACGCTTATACTCGAAAACTATAAGGATACGGCGATCAAATGGATCATTATTAACGAATCCATTCAATATTTGGGATGCTCGTGATCGCGTTTTTATATTTTTATTGAGACCAACGTCGCGACGTTCTCGACACTCGCGCGGAAACGATTATAATACTTTCGCTTCGTTTCCGTTTTAGAGGAATGAAGTTGGCGCGAGTTCAAGTTGCGTACTACGTGAATCAAGTATGGCGCGAATTATGAATTAATTGATGCTCGTTGAACGGATACATATATGAATGATAGAGCAAATAATTACATAATTTTATCATTAATTATTATTAACGAATAAGGCATTGCTTGATAATTGATTTATCATTTTCTTGTGATTTAATAAATTCTGAAGTAATATGCAATTTTTTTAAATAAGCTTGAAATATGAAAAAGATCTTTATTAGAATTAATCAAAAGTGATAAATTATCTATTAATTAATATATCTTAATAATTTAATTTAAAAATATTATATTATTTATATTATTATAGTTATATTATTAATGTATATATATATTAATGATAATAAATACAGTTAATGATAATAATTATCAATTAACAATAATGTTTAACAATAATTATGCCGCTTTTGATATTTTTTAAAGATCCAATATGGTACAAATAAAATAAAAAAATAATTACAAGATATGTTTATAAAATTAGAAGACAAAGTTTTATTTATTAACTTTATTATAATGGATAAGAGATCAATTTTGACGAAATAATATTGTAAAGGAGCTTTATTAATGTAATTTTACATAAAAAATAAAGTATTTTTAAAACAAAATACTCACATACAAAAAGTATAAAATCAGATCATTTGTACATTTAACTAACACTGGAAAAGTGATACAGTGTATAATACGCGATATATGTAATACACAAGAAGATGTAACTTTAAAGATAATTAACGTAAAATAAACTCCACGCATTCTCAGAGATCAAGTTTCATCTGCTACCTACTTAGCTCTTCTTTTGCAATCTGTAATACAGTTTCTATCTTAACAAGGTAAGTTTTACATAGCATGGCTAGTATCACAATCCCATAACTATCCACATCTTTTCAATAGAATACAATTTGCACTAATAACATACAAGTATACAAAAAAGTACGGCTTAAATGTAACTTATATAAAATGAATTATTGGTTTCGCTGATCTTGTATGATATGAAAAAGCATAAATGATATGAAATTCACTTATATACAAATGAAAATAGTGCAGAAAATATTAAACATGATAATTTAACAATTAATAGTAACGTTTCAATAACAGGTTGATTAAGTTTGTTATTATATATAATATAAACATGTAACGCAGACATACTTAAAAATAATGTTAGAGCTTGCGCATTATAATAATAATCTTCAACAGCATAAAATATGTTTAAAATAATATAATATTAAGTACAAAGTCCATTTTAATATCTAATGTAAATTATAGAAATGAAATTATCAGTAATACATTGTACATGAGAGTAAATAATAGCTGCACGATGAGGGTCTCCGATGTTAATATTTATACAATGTGAATAATATATTTAATATGTGAATATATATTCATGTTTACTTCATCGAAAGTCATTATTAATAAAATTAAAATTATTTTGAAATACTACATGAATACTATTTTATATATAAATTCTCTAAGAATTTAATCAGTTGCATGTAAGAAATTTCAAACATGCAAAGCATGAACATTACATTTCTGATTTTCTGTGTTTTACATTCTTACAATTGTACGTCCTGCAAATCATTTAAATTGTGATACAATGCCGCTCTAAGAAATGTAAACATTTAGAACTTTTATGAGCATCAATAGTTATTTTTGTCGATGAGTAATTAATTAATTTATACGAAGAAGATGCTATTCCTTCATCGAAGAACATATGAACATTTGTAATTTGACATCTAAATTAATGAGAAACAATTCAAGCGGTTTTATTAGCCGGTCGGAAGCGAGACATATAAAAATCGCAGTCCGTACAATAAAGCGTTGGCTCAAGTACATTTCTCTTTCGACAGAGATTGCAGGGTGTCACGCATGCTCTTACGGTGGTCGTCGATGCTTGTAAAGAAGATTGCGTTACTATCGGCTGCGTCACCATCGGGACGACTTTCGCGGTGGACATTGCGAAATGCATCTGTTTGGAGAGCGGAGGATGTTGATAGGCCGGATACTTCACATTCGGCTGTATCTGACCGTTCTGCAGGGCCTTAGGATACGTTTGATTAGGCATCACGGAATTTTGCTGATCCATTTTCTGAGATGCTAATTGTCGCTGATAATTATCATGTCTCTGCTGATAATTCTGCGCGTTTTGTTGCATTTGGTGTTGATAAAACGCGGGTGAATTGGACGACGATTGATACTGCGATGATAATGGTTGACCCGGTCTATTCTGCGGAAGAACGGCTTGATAGGGATGACCCTGATAGGAACTTTGAGAGTATTGACTTTGATACGGATTCGGTGACTGATTAGACGGATATGAGAACTGCTGTTGCGAATGCTGGACGGTTATCGGGCTGGCGTTGTGAGACGAGATCCTTTGATTCAGCAAATTCTGTTGCGATTGAACGTTCGCCTGCTTGTTCATCTGATTATGCTGTTGCTCCAACTGATAATACGTTCCGTAGCCATTTTTCTGAGACAATCCTTTCGTCTGCGGCATATTATTTTGTATGTACTGTCCGTGCATCTGCGTGGGATAAGGACTGGCTGGCTTCTGCGTTTGAGATAAAGGAATGATTTGAGGTCTCATTGTCAATTGAGATGTTTGCGTCTGTGGATACATCGACTGCAAGTATTGCGTGTATGCGTTCTGTGTGTATCTAATATGCTGTTGCGGTGCATAAGACGTGGAGGTTTTCGAGGTATTCGCAGAAACACCAGCATACGTCTCTCTACTATCGACGACATCTTTGCCTTCATTCCCACAAGACTTCTTATCCGTTAATAATCCCATGGAATCACTTGAATTCTGTCGTCCAAATGTAGGTTTAATGGTATCTGGAATTGGATTAACGCTTCTCAGCTGATCTTGGAAAGGTGTCGCCGGCATGCTGTCAGCTTCGCTCTTTAAAGGAAGAGTCTGCTGTTGGAATTTCGCGACAGTATTTTCGCGATTCGTTTCCGCTTCTTGAAGACTTCTGATTTCTCGTAGCACTTGAGCAGTTTCAGGTTTGTTCATTGCAGACCGTAAAACTCTCTCCAGAATAGGATTAGGTATATACGAATCCTTTTCGTCATCCTCCGCTGTTGCAACAAGCACCACTTGGTCGCAGAATGATACACTTTTCTTCTTTCCTATTCGTCGTTTCACCTTTCTCGGGGCAATGTCCTCCTCGCTTGGAAGTATCGTTGTATTCTGTATGGTGTTCTGCATCGCTACTTCACTGATGTCATCTTCCGGGCAATCAATAGGCAAACCATTCTCTTGCGGCAGTGTCAAGGACATCGATAATATCGCGGCATTTAATTCGCTCTGTTGAATACCGGAATTATTCGATGGCATCGCAACAAAATTCTGATTGGAATTCGAATCAAAGTTGGATTTCGAAACGGCCTGAGAACTTGAAGTCTCCGTAAATACTCCAGAATTCTCAGAGGCTAAATTGCTGGTAATCGATTTCGTTCCCTCCGTCGATGATGTTTCTTGAGGCATATTCGAGATAAGCATTGGAGAAACACAATTCACATTCTGTTTTGATTGAGGTTTCATGTCAGCTTCTGATTTCGCTGTCGGTTGCAGCTTAATCTGTTCAAACCTAGCAGCCATATCTTTTACCGAAGAAACGACTTTTGGACAATCCGTAACATCACGTCCCTGATCGTATCCCTGTCCGAGATTGTTCATCATTAAATCGCTGGTTCTCCTAGCGATAGTCGGTCCTTGAATTGTCGACGGAATCCTTACTTTTGGAATGTCTTGATTTAAAGATCCGTGCCGCTTCATTTTTCTCTCTGCCTGTTTAGCTTGCAACTCTCTCAACCACGTTTCACTCGTAGACTTCTCTTCATCCTCGTGCTCCTCCGGCCGTTTCTCTTCACTTGGATCAGTCAAGATCTGCTCCCTCTTGCTTTGTAACTGCGCTAACAAGCTGGTAATTTGCTGTGCTTCATATTGCTGCGCACGTTGCTGCGATTGAACGGGAACTTGAAGCTGTTGAGTTTCTTGAATCGGCGGTTCATCAATCGGTGGAGGAGGCGGAGGGAAATCTTCACTAGTTTGTCTCGAATGTGACACCGAATGGATTGAAGGATATGGCGGTGGTGGAAAATCTTCGCTCGGTTGCCGTGAATGCGAAATGTTGCTGTTTTCGGGATAAGGCGGCAAAGAATCTGGCTGAAATTGTTGCTTAACAGGAGTCTGCTCATTGTGAATGTCCGCACGAGTAACGACAAAAGTCGGTTCATAAAGTATGCCGTTAGCATATTGTACAACGTCATCCTGGATTCTAGGCTTATTATTGTAGTTCGTTTGGCAAGCTCCAGAAATATTATTGCTCTGCTCATTATAGGACGGTATAAATGGAAGAGAATGAGATTCCGAAGCGTAATCAACGTAATCTGACTTTCTGTTTGCCATATTGGATGAATTGTTCGTATTCATGTGATTCCAATAAGCACTGTTTTGATCCTGCGACGAATTGGGCGCGCATCGACCATCCGGCAAAGGATACACAACTTTGTCAGATTGATGCTCATTGTGCATTTCACTCGAACATTTAGATTTACTAAGCTGAGAAGTAGTCCTAAGCGGAGGAGGTGGAGGCACTTTCGCAACATGTAAAACTTTGCCAGCGCTGCCATGGAAGCTCTTTCTCATCAGACGACTTCTCTCAAGATTCGGATTGCTAGTATTTCCAGATCCGCCGTTTCCGGTAAACTCTAGATGCCCTTCTGATAGGTAACCGCACAATGACTGATTTGCATCGCTTCCTTTCAAACCAACGCTGGAATCATCCAATGACTGTTTCGGTAAGATATTAGAGGATCCTTCTGGGTTCACATTCGTCTGACCATCCTGTCCTTCTCGTAAATCTGGCATACTTCTGTTTTTCCTCTTGATCAATCCGCCCATCAGCAATTTTCTGCGTATCTTATGCTGCTTCTTGCCTTGTTTCTGTTCCACTGCAGTCGTGTTGTTGAGCTGCGCATTTCTGATCGCAGTTGTATTAGTTTCGACGATTTCCTTCGGCTTTTCAATTTTCACTCCTTTTGGAGATGGCGATAATCGAGATGGTGCTATCGAAAAATCCTTTGATACATTCTTGTTTCTTTCTTCGCTTCTCGCGCGTTTCTTATCTTTCTTTTCGTCGTCGCAGCGTTTCGTACGACTAAACAAACCAGTCCTTTGTGTTGGACGATCATAAAGCATGTATTCTTCGTCTTCGATAACATTTACCGCCGTTGCTTTACTACGTAGAGTCTTCTTCTTCGGTAAAGTAGCATAAATCTCGATACTCTTCGTGGTAGGTTTATCCACCGTCGCTGATGTATTTACTAGAAGCTCCCGACTGTTTTGTCGAGAATGATTACCTTTGTCTCGCGAGCTTTGCCTCGAATGCTGACTTGATTTACTGTTTTCTCGAGAATGCCTTCCTTCAGGTAACCCTTCTAAAAAAATACAATGTTAAATACATCTATTTTGCATGTCTCGACAAAATAATATTGATATTTTGATTGACAAAATAATATTCATATTTTAATTTCTTACCTTCTTTATCACCATTAACGATTGCTTGTTCTTGTAGCATTCTTCGATGCAAACTTCTCGTTCTCATGACGCAAGTATTATGTTTCATTCTTGCTATCGTAATCGTGTGAGTATTGTTATACGGAGCATCCATCGCAGCTCTGGCTTTACTACTGGCCGCACTGCACAATGCCATGGCCGTGTTAAGATCGCCAGCATCTTCAGCGGCACGGGATTTATCCAGCAACGCGTCCGTCTCCTTGCACAACCGTTCGCAATCATCACCGGAAGAAGGTTGATAACCTTCCGGTATTTGAGCAAGCTATAAACAACAGTATTTCAGTTACAAACAAATATGCATAGATATCTTTTGGAAATTAAAAATTGTTAACATTTGAAATTCTGTATATACAAATATTTTCAATTTTATTAAAATACAAATTTACCTGTAAATTGTGCTTTAGTCCTTGCTGAAGTGGAAGACTGTCCGTAGACGACAAAGAATAGGAATCGTAACCGGCATCGTAATGACCGCTGCTGCTACTCGAGAGTTCTCCAGATTTGATAGGACTTTTAGGTACGTTTGAATTTCTCTGCATTTTATTAACAATATACAAATACGTATTGTCCATCGTGGTCGACGAACTCGATGACGCGCTGTTTCTATCACCGGACCAATTGCCGGAATCCCGTCTTCGAGGCACATTCATGTGATCAGGGATGCTGATACCATCTTGCGGGGCCGATCCCACGCTTAAACTACGTGTCAATTGCATTTGCTGTTTCTTCTGTTGTTGCATTACGTTTTCCACGGCACGACGACTAATATATTTCGACTCTATGTCACCGTCAACCGCATCTACACCCTAGACAATATTTAATTTGAAGTCAGTAAATTAAATGCAAAAGTATATACATCTGTTTTTCGAAAGAGAAAAAACATAAATTGTATAAAAAAAAATTATTAAGGTAAGTATTTACATTATTACAACGCACCTGGTTGCCAAATATGTTATTCTGGATATCTGTGAGATTCTGGTAATCACTGTAAATGCTTCGTTGAGTATAGTGATGAGGCGGACTATCGGGATTGGGTGTGATGGCACGTCTGGCAGTGCTGTTGATGGATGGCTTTTCAGGACTAGGTGTAATCGAACGGCGAACGCTATTCTTTGGGGACGTCTTTAAACCATTATTATTCGGGAAAGGAATAACAGTCTTTGGAGCATTCTCCGTATTAACCGGAGTACCAGCAGGCGTCGCATACAGGAGTAGTAAAGGTTGATAACGACCTCTCCTACACTTCTCCACGACTTGCTCCCACCGAGGTCCAATTTCCTTGACAGTGGCATCATCGAAATAGATCCACACCTAAGAAATTATCAACTCGTATTATAAATTGAATTAAAATCGCTAATTATAATAGAAAATTTTATTTATTTATTTCGTTGTATTGTCGAACTTTGATATTATTGTATTTTTAACGTTTGACTTAAATTGATTTACTTGTCTTCTCCGGTTTAACATTAGTAATTTTACTGCTGTCGAATCAACATCTTGAAAGGTACATTATTTTTATATTATTGTAAATTTCTTCGTTAACAACTTTGTAAATTATTGTTTTATATCTTAATCATTGTATATTTTTATTGTGCAGTTACACTTGAAAAGGATCCGTACCTAAGGGTCGAAACGTAGTGTTTCAAATTAAATTGTACTGGCCAGTTAGGTCGAAAATTTCAATAAATTTGTATGGTTTTACTCATCACTGGCGACTTCATTAATTTTATCGTTATATAATAGAAACGTAAAATTAAGTAACATTTACCTTTAATTTCGTATGAAAGAAGAAGGTCGAATAATGTTTCCCGTAATAGGTAACCACTCCTACGAGATTATGCACGGTAGAGGCACCCCATCGAGAGTCCACTACACTGTGGAAGACGTCACTAAGCCGAAGGGACGTGCCCACGGTCGCAAAGACATCCATGATATGCTCCAACGACGGTCGTTCACTGTCCCAAACGACACCGACAGAAACTATTTCTGGTCGATTCATCAGAGTCCGGCATATCTGAATTTTTGCACCGCAAGAACTCTGAAAAAATGAAGGGAAATCGAATACTTTATCATTTATTATTTATTTTACAATATCAGTAAAATTGCGTACACATTTTGTGTCGACCTGTTTTAATTCTCGAGAGAAAGTTTTAGAGTCATCGCGTATAAATTCGGAGAAAGAATATATATATAAATCATGTTCGAATGAGTCAGTCATCCGTAATCTTATTTAAAATCCAACTGTATATGGATGGGCTATCATAAAATTGATGACAAATTATAATATGCAAGAGAGAGATAGAGACATGTTACTCACAATTCGACCAAGTATTTCGTAAAATGTTTCGTTTAGCCTGCTTACCGGACAGTCCCGGATGTCACCCATTCCACCAGCTCTTCGAAGAAGTTGTCCGAAGAGATCTGGACTGTTCCGCGAATTCAGTGACGTTTGATGAGCCTGAGATGTTAACGCTGATGCAGACACATAATGAACCATCTGCAAATAAAGATGGAGATAATATTAACTTTTTTATTTAATAACTCCAAATTAAAAAAAAATAAGTTTATAATATTTTAATCATTATGAGAAACTGTGAATCTCGAGTTCTGTTGCCATTCTACTTTATGCACTTGCGTACTTTGCTACAAATTTATTACTATTGATACGGATTTATTTCTGATATTTTAATCAAATCGCCAAACTGTTAATATACTACTATTTTTCTCAATAGATAAAAATAACTAGTTTCATGCTCTTTATGATTCGCAATTCAATGCTGATATATTAAGAGAAATCAATTTCATCCATTTTAGCAATCAAAAATAATAATTTTTAGAAAGTAAAACATAGTTCTCTATAAATGTTTATTATATTATAAATATAAATCTACATAACTTTTTGTATATCAAATCATATTTTATACGACAAATAATATAGAAGGAATTCAGAGAAAATTGGTGAAAGCTGAAAGAATAGATATTTATAAAAAATGTATAAAAGAAAAACGAGAGAAATAAAAACTCTTTATCCATTGGTATATCTCAGGTAAATTTAAACGTGAATGCATAGAATCGACACTACATGGAAAAAGTAACGTGAGTAAAAAGCGAACAGATCATCTGAAGGTGCAACAAAGTGTGAAATTTAGCGTGTCATCTCAGAAACAAAGATGACATTTCTGATTCACTCTTACATATCTTTCTCAAAACTATTGCACATAAGGAAATGCGCACGGAAAAGATCAATTTATGTTTGTATATTATATGCAAAAGTGATATATATATATATATATATATATATATATATGTATATATATACATACACGTATTATATACTTGTACAGAAACTGTAAAAAATAACAAATTGTTTATGTAAAATGTAAATGATTTTATGTAACAAAACTATTAATAAGAAAAAACAATATGCATTATTCATGTATGCATTTTTAAATGCGGTTTTTCTTGACTGTTCTTCTATACGTAATAATGTAACATAAGTGTAGAAAAGCATAATCTTAACCACATATGTATGTTAATTACACGAACCTGTGTAAAAGGCAGTGGCTCCGACGTCGCGCCGCAAGCTCCACAGACGCTTTGCTCGACGAGCGTCATAGCAAATTTCTGATGCGGCACACAATGCCTCGCACTACACATATCTTCAGCCTCGCCGCTTGCGATGTGGAGATGTATACGTAAAAGAATGTTTTCCTAAAATTGAAAACTGTATGTTAGCGAGCGTGCATTCCTTCGTATTTTCTATCGCAACTCGTAGTCGCGCTTGTAAGGCCAAGTTGAACAGATATATTATTTCTGCCATTTGTGTGTATAAGTCCAGAACTATGCTACTTCAATAAAAAAGCTAAGAATCGTCAACTTTTAATTTAACGTTTTAATAATCAAAATAATATTTAAACAATTAAAATAATTACTACAATAATATTTTTATTTAATACGTAAAGCGCTATTACTTACTTCAGTAAAAATATTATATTCGAGAATATATTCAGAACAACGATATGCGATATTCAGAACAGCGATACGATTATATATTACTGTCCTTGCATCTATTATGCGTACTTTCCTTGTGTAAGTACCAAGTTGCATTGATATTATTCAAACCAACTAGTGTTGACATACATACGGACATATACTAGCGTCCAACGTGACCGTTGTGTAAACGAGAAAGTAGTATAGCAGCGGTACTTGTAAGACTCAGTTAAGATCATTATTGCTAGTCCAATCTCGTCCGTAACAAGGCACCATTAGAAACGTTCGATCAGCTTCGAAATATTCAATAACGAAAATAATGGTTTATCCTCTTTCTGGAGTAAGAAGAAATCTCAGAGAGAAAGAGAGAGAGAGAGATCGATTTGATTTAATTTGATTACATTTGACATCTGGACCTTCAATCTGTGCCATCAAAATTTCTGCATTATTAACAAGAAAGTCGATCTCTCTTCTTACATTCTGAACAGAATATATTTATAAAAATTTTCCTTGCAGATGTAGATCGATTTACACTTCACCTTCGTTTTTTCCAATAGCTCGTTTAAAAAATTGTTTCGGCAATCTATATCGAGAACGCGATTTATCGCGAATAATGAGTAAAAAGCGTGTTTTAAGTGTTTTCTAACGCATTCAAATCTAATTGTTTAGCAATTCATCGATTGCATTATATGCGTATCGATATCTCGTTTCGATCAGTAGTGGTAATGGCATCTGGAAAAACAGAAATAACTTACGAAACATTCTGCCGCGTCGTCCATGAAACCCAGCTGAAATCTCTGCTGATCGAGAAAGCTTTCTGCCAGCGCGCGGCGCAACGTGTCGGGTGGCAGAGCGCTCTCTTGCGAAAACTGCAGCTGCGAGAACAGGTCCTGAAACAAGACAATGTGACGAGGATTTAATGCGAGAATCACCAAAGAAGATTTCTTGCCGCCTTGAATCTCGCGAACATCAAGAACGACGTGCATCGCAGTGAAACATGAATACACTAAAAGACGACATAAATAAATGAGCATTTTATTATATATACAAATATGTATATAGTTTTATTTCTTTATATATGTATGTTATTAATAAACTTATCGTATTATTTAATATTTAGTCTTTTGCAGTCTTTTTTTATTAAAAAAGATTTATTGTCTTTTTTATATGTGTCTATTTATCTTTGTCAGTTTAATATAAGTTGCGCCACACAAGCATCTTTAAATATGAATATAACGAATCAATAGATGGAATAAATTTTCATCATATTACAGAAGATTAATAGAGATTATTTTTTGTTTAATAAACACAGCATCGAAAACTCTGTTAGTTCTGTTTAATAATAAATGTGTATCATATGATTTTGCGGCTACGTTAGAATAAAATTGTTTAACTTTAGATATTATAAAATTATATGCTTCACACACAGTTACACACTTTCAGTAAATAAATGTGTATTTATTGAATTTCGAAATTTCAAATGTAAATATAACCGTAGATATGATTTATATAAAATATTATAATACATAAAAGAGAGAGAAACGGAGAAAAAGAGAAGAATTAATTTGAATTCTCTTGCGCAGAATTACATGAGACCTTACGTCATCTCCTTACGATAAAACCGTTCTATGATAAAATCACATTGTAACGCTAAACCTACCGCACTGCTCTGCTTCTTTCGTTTCCCTAATCAACATATTCGCGAGATAATCGGACGCTTAGCATAGGTAATTCCGCGAAACGCGCATGAGATTTTGCAACGAGAGGAAAGCGAGGAAAAACCCGGAGATGACCGCTAGGACATCGGCATTACCTCGAGGTTTGCATCGCCGTATGCAATCGTGATACATGGCAAAGGTCAAACAGAAATGCTACGCAGACCGGTCGTAATTTGCGACCTATCGGCAGCAGCCGGGCTTTAGCGTCTTTCGTAATCCTCACTTGATGAGCAGCGGTTACAAGCATGGAAAGTCGATGCCAGTCGCAGATGTTTGCTTAATACAATATTTCGACAAAAGTATCGAGTACAGAAAAAAATCAAGCTGAACAGTTCGTTAAATCATGATCAAATCATCTATATGAGAGTTACAAATCTATTTTTAGAACTTACAAAAAATCGAATAGATATGTCAGATGATGAATTGAAACGGATAGAATGACAAAGAATAACACATGAAGCAGATTCAATTTCTATAATGGTGTTTCAATGATTCAGTCGGAGTTCGTATCAGTCATGTTGTGTTACGTGAGGCGGCGACCTAGTACACTACGTCAATTTGCGTCTGAAGTGAAATTCTTCAATGAAAGTTACTGCATATCGTGCACTGTTAACGACGATGGTAGCGACAGATGTGTTACGTGCCCCGGTCGACGTAAAAGCGATGATAGTAACGGCACCTGGGGAAGAGGAGGACGTCGCACCTGTTCGAGACGAAGCACCTTTGACGTCTGATGAAGAAGAAACCGGTCGGGTTTTAGCGTACGCATCAGAAATTGCGTTAGATCGAGCGAGATCGTCGAATGAAAGCGATCGACTTCATCGATCATTAATTTTTCGAGATAAAATATCGTACTTATTCTATTAAAAAAAAATATGCCTGTTAGAAAAAATAGCGAATAGCTTGCAATATCATTAATATTTTACGCGCTGTTTATAGAAAAAAGAGAGAGAGAGAGTAAATTATAATTACACACGCGCGCGCGTTGAAACCTTCGCATGATCAAGCATTCTCAAGCTACAGTGCATAATAATTTGAGAGAAACTATACGCGTGTGGATTGTCTAAAGAAGATCTGTATTAACTTGGTCTAATGACTATATTCATTAGCGATTCATTACAACTGGATTAATTAGAGTTATTTTTGTCGTTATGATCCTCAAAGATAACTTTCTAAATTAATTCTAGATTACTGAAGAAGTGCAAAGCATGTGCGTACTTTTTTCAGATCACTTAGCTCGACGTTGCAAACTGAGTCTTCTTTCTCCATTCCACTATCTTCGGCTTCCTCTTCTTTCTTAACCTCAGCTTCAACTCTCGTCTCATCTTTCTTTACTTCCCGATGAGATACGGATAACTTGGGTGACGCAGGCGTCGTTGCCGACGTAGTCTGACGAACTTTTATCCACTTCAACATTTTTTCATTCTACACACTCCGAATTATACATAGATGTTTATCTCGTCCTCGTCTATGATTCTGCGAATTCATCGCGATTATCTTCGAAAGTGGTCGAGCAAATTTGTATTGCGAAGGTTTTATGGATTTGTTCGAATTCCGGCACACTCCAACATCGAAACGAAAACATCGTGCAAGATGAAATGTTCTCCAGATCAGGTTAAAGACAAATACGAACTTCCACTCACTCAGCAGAAAACTCCTCGTGATCCTTAGCGTGACGATAGCGTTGTTTGCAGTGTCTACACGCGACACGTTACATGTCAGTCTAATAATATCGTTTGGTTACACTTGGAGTAACTTTCCCTTATAGTTGGGTCTCCCTTTTTCAACCTTCCTTCTTTTTAGGCAATAATATACATTGCTATCTCTTCTGTTTGCCGTCTCGAGTAATTTGGTCTTACGAGCTGAGATAACTGCGTGGTAAAATTAAGGGCAACGACCATTTTTATGGTTCAACCCTCTGCTATTTTTCCTTATTGAAATATATCATATCTTTTTTTATTTTCAAGCACTGATTTCTGGATGAAGTCACGTTAAATGTTACAAGCGTCATTCTATGATGTGGAACTTTGCGTAATAACGTTGCATCTTCAGTCGAGGATCAGATAAATAAGAGAGCGTTTAAGAATACGAAATAACGAAGAAGGAAAACTCGAAGGTTGACGATGAGCAAGCGTATATCTTAGACGAGAGAGTCAGGCAAATGCCTGTTTATAAAGAATTATGTGCAGCAGATGCATACAGGATGTGCTGGTAGAAACCGTTGCCAGAGGAATCGATTAAACACTTGTTTAGCCGGTAAAATCATCCTTTCAATTCGTAAACTTGGCGTTATCGTGATAAGCTCGCAATTCTTTTATTATCACGACTTCAAGAATTCTCGGCGATTCCGTAAATAATATTTTTGAAATTGCTCGTCCACGCTTGCCAGAGAGAAAATTCTCAGTTGGGAGAATTTAAAGCGATCATATACGACAAGAAACTTACTCGAAAGAATTTCTCTTCAAGTTTCGTTGATTTTATGTTAGAATTTCTCTACGTGACCTGATCCTTCGGATCACAAGTAGAATAGTTTGCCGTGAATTTACAATAAAAAAATTATATGTTTTACAATAAAATTTATTTCCTCAAATCATAAAGTTGCTCTTCTAGATTAACAATTGTTGATGAGATCATCTCGTTCCATCTCGATGTACCACGTGCTTCTCTCGTTCCGCCGCGTTAACTTCTCAAACGAACGAGGAGCAACTTTCTTTTATCAGAACCATCGCTGCTCCATATCTTCGCATTTAACTCAATATTCTATAAACCACCGTTCACCATTGTTACTTAACTGCGCGACACTCTTATGCACAAAAAGGATGATATGTCATCACGTAACAAGATGATATCCCGAGTTCTTTCCTCGCTAACAGCTTCCGGTCCAATTCCGGATCACGAAGAAGCGCGGCGAGGACGGAAATATTTTCCTGCGCATATAGCTTCGCTAAGTTGAACAACGCGATCGCGCGGTGAAACGTGGAGGAAGAACCACAGAACTACCTGCCTGCACACGGTGCCATGCACCCGTACCTGAAGCCAGCGGCTCACGGTGTACTGGCGAATATCTCCCACTCTCTTTTCAGGTTCTCCTCGTCTTTCTCTTCTCTCTGAGAGACCATACGGTGTCCCCTTTCTCTCTCCATCCCACCTTCTGATAGACCCGAGGAACCAATGACGTCACCCGTTTACTATCCTACGTTCACCTACCTACCTGAGCGACCAGCAGCCCAATCAGGGCTGTATCTCGTCGGAACGATCCGTAGGGACGACTCGTTTCTCGAGAAAAAGATCAACCGGATGATGAATCGTCCAGTTTGTCGTTTCCGTGAAAATTTTCCTTTACCATCGAAAAACGTCGCCACTACGTGATAATTCGTTATAATGCAGTTGATCTTTTTATTTATTTTTCTGGGCAATTTATCGTGATACTGCGACGTTATTTCGCGATTAATTCATAAAACGTAGTAGAAATTCAAATTAATATTTCGCATCGAGCTCATCTCTTCCACGAGGAATCTAAAGATACCGATGCTTCCGCGTGTAATTGCGATTACTCATCCGAATCGAACTGTCAAATTCAACAATATCCCTCGTGGGCGATAATTTTTTCATGTTTTATTCCTGACATTCACCTAACGGAATTACGAAAATCCTGAAGAACGACTACATTTGGTCATATAAATATAGAATTGCTAATAAACTGCAAAGAAAATATGATGTAACACATCGCTATGTAAGAAACGAATGTAATTTAATACGAAATATCGAGAGCAAATTATGGATAAAAGTACTTAAATTCAACTCATATAAAGTCAGTGTATTGTATTTAATATTATTTACCACCATTATTTACTACCATTTTTTAATATTATTTGTAAAATATTGTGATAAATTAATGTTACCACAGTATCGAACAGGAAATTATGTCGATTAAATCTTGATAGTATTATTTAATCAAAAAGCGTAGGCATCTGTCGCGTAAGAGAAGTAGCCACTTACGTAGGCTTAGAACATTTCCTCCTTCGTGTGCGAGACAGGATGCAGATTTATTTAAATTTACTTGTAAAACGCCCGACTTTAAAAGAGTATTTAAATGGTAACGGTAACGTGTTCTGCGCTTTCGTTGTGTTGCTGTAAAAAGATTCAGCAGTCGCGAATTAAATTTCCTTCATAATTTTTCGAGAAAGTATTTTAATCCTATTAATTTAAATAATAAAATGCAATAAAAAGTGTATTATTATTAAATATAAAATGTAACATTAAATGAAAGTTGAGAAAAAGTAATTTGCATCCCTGTTGAAGGTTCCGGTAAGAGAATTCAAAGGAATTATTGGCATTGACCGTAAATGATTTTATAATAGCGGACAATTATCTTGAATATCCGTAACCAAAGCGGTAATCTATATAACATATGTTTTTGCAACAAATTACCGCAATGCGATATTTATCGCGAAAAAAATTATAGATCGCGCCTTCAGCAAGATTTACTGTATATATCATGAAAATAACGATTTACACTTTATTTAATATTATTTGTGAAATATTGCGACCCGATCTCACACAGTATCGAACAGGAAATTATGTTGATTACGTCGGTTTTTTGTTTAGAAATGGTCTTAATTGACAGTTCTCAAAATTAGGTATACAGTCATTTATCATTATCATCTAACTAACTGTATATTCAGAATACGAAACATGCAAAGATATAAGAATTATGCTTATAAGCACTGTCGATATGATCTGTGCTATTAGAAAGACTGTACGGTTCATATCACACAGCTGCAAATTAAATTTCATGTAAGAATTGTATATAAATTTTGAATATTTTTCTAATCCTTTAGAAATTGTAGATAAGAGTAGACGGGAAATACTTTATAAAGAAATGTTATCGCATAAATAACCATAAAGCTAAATTACATTAAAAATTCTTTTCTCTCCCTTAATTAACAACGTAACTTCAGATCGGTTTCTAATAAGAAAAAATGGAGTCTATCTATATAAATTAAGATAGAAAAACATAAATAAACATAATCAACAAAATTTAGTCCGAAAATATATATTTAATAAACGCGTCATTTCAAAATTAATGCTCACGGTAAAAATCGTACTACATGACTAAGGCATCTCGCAACATTAAAATATTCACGCTCCCTCCCCCAAAATGCGTTCAAGATGAATCATCTCAGACATTCCATAGGGTTAAATTCCTTGTTGCGTATAGATATTGACCTTCGCGTTGGTATAAGAAAACGTAATCTTTTTATTAAAAAATCTTCCTCTATATAGTTTATATATAATTTTGTTTAATATCAAAGACAATTAAAATTTAATATTGATATTAATATTGAAATTTTAAGATTTTAGTTTCACATAAACTTACATTTCTATTTTAATATTAACTTTAAAATATATTAATAAGTATGAAATGTATACAACTTTATCTCTCGGCATTTTAGAAAAAATTATCCAAAAAAGTTCGGTGCTTCAGGAAGATAAAGATTGTCTACAAATGAGTCTTGAAAACATGTTTGATAACATTATTTCGAAAAGCCATTATTCCGAAAATCTTGAAAATCTGTCGCGTGCCGATAAACCTGTACAGAATTTTCTATAAAATCAGTTAATTAGTACTTGTCTGTGTAGAGTTTTGGTTGTTTTGTGTAAGATATACCAAGGGTAGGTCCTAAAAGTTACCTGCGTAAAAAGCCGAAAAATCTTTGACATGTCAGAGACATTAAGAGGCTCCAGCTCGCCTAACGAAACTATTTCAAATACCAAAATTCTACTTTGTCCTAAATATACGAAGAACCTTTTTATCCTAAGTATATTGTGTTCTAAATTGAAATGTCACAAGTAAATAATTCAATAAGAAATAATAATAAATATTGACATTCAATGCAAAGTTTAAGACACATTAATGTTCTTACGAAAAGATTGTTTATCATTATTAACGCATCACACGATTAAATCAAAGGAGTTAATATAAATTGCGTAACAATTATGTGTCAAGTGCTGTAATAAGCGAGGAAATGAGCTTGGGGTGTTAGTTTCGAATTGCGGTAATTTTGGACAAAATTGCACCGCTCGAAAGACGAATCTGGCAACATGAAGCATACTCCGAGCGGTGATTGTTCTTGCAAATCGTGCTCGGTATGTACCCTACGCCTCGAGCAATTACTCTCTAGATTGCTAATTAACCTCGTGAGAAGATCGGCAGGAACTTGCGTTTCCACCTACTTCTCGACTAGCCTCGAATGTGCGACGTTACCGAATACCGGTCTACAAAGTTCGTAACTGGTGGTGGGTGAAATAGCTGACCTTCCACGATAAAAGCAGACAACGTCTGCCACGGATGGACCAACGCGCGGTTATCCTGCGGCTCTCTTCACCGATCACGGACGAAAACGAAGAGAACATCATTGGCAAAAAATCCGTGGCTCATAGGATCCCGTTACAATGGTTAGCCATATCTCTACGTGATCGCGTAGAGCGCGACGAAGAAAATGATAGCAAATATAAAAAGCAAGGCTTCTATTTTCGATATTCTATATACTAGAGGAAGATAGAGATTAAATCTATGCTACATACTAGAAACATACAATAAGCAAGCGTCATTAATGTTTTCCACTTCCGGTTTATTTCTAAACTGATCACATTGATCACGTACAGATATTCGTGCATTGAAAATGACACAATAAAATTAATAGAAAAGTTATGGTAAATAATGAAGAGATTAATACAAAATTAACTTCTTCACTGTAAATATTATTCGAGTAAATTATTTATTTGCATCGCAGATTCAGTGTAAATATCTTTCAACGCGAAGAAAATAGCTTACGCGTTGAATAGAAAATAATTAGCTTCGCCTTTTCCTCACGAGTAAAACATCAAGATATATTATCACACCCCATTTTTACTGTTACTGTGGGATTATTTCCAGATGATTTTCTTATTGAATTTCATATAGCGTAAAACTTATCCGGAAAAAGCATTCAGTTTCTTCTTTGTGCGAAAATTACTCAAGGTTCTGTTTCCCTTCGTTAGAATGCGAAGCCACAAGAGCTCATCGATACGTAAAAGTGTCAAGGCAACGCATTATAAAAACCACAGCTTAGAATATTTGTCGTTACAAGCGCAACTACTGTAATCAATCTTGTTGCACGTTGTAACTAAAAGTTATAATTGAGAGGAAGAGACAAAGAGAGAAGCGGTTGATAAATATTTAACTTCACAAGTTCTACAAACTCCGTTTGTGTGCTTTTGTCTCATTGTCAGAATATTCCTTAAAATTGTTTATATAGATTAAACATATATATAAAAAATATATTAATATGTTATAAATATAAACGGTAGTTACATTCAGAAAATTAATTATTTTGCAATTTTTTTATTAACTTACCTTGAGTGCGCAAAAGATGCAAGACTCTCGCATACAAGCATGTCCAGAAAGTTCTCTGAAACTCCGTCGAAAAATGTCAAGATGCCACAAAACCTGAAATAAAAATAGAAAATCTTATAAGTTTCTCATACAATAATATTGATTCAAGTCAAAAAATTTTTTAGAAAAATATTTAGCTAAAATATTTTTTCTCTCTCTCTCTCTCTCTTTCTAAAATTTTATATTTTTTGTATTTATTATATTTATCATTCTGAAAAGCTTTTAAATCCCATATGCACGTAAATAATTAAACATTTAACAATTAGTAATTTAACAATTTTGACAATTATGTATATTAATATATCATTTACTTTGCCAAGTTACATAATATGTCGTCATGCACATGATCAAATTTCGGCATCGATTCTGAATGAATTTATCATATTCTTTGCATATATGGCGTCGAGACAAAAAAGGTAACACGTGGGTGCACGTAACACAAACGAATATGTAAATGTGTCGGGATCTTCTATATGGTATCTACACCCATATACGACAGTAGCCCAGTGTATCATGAGCGCATTATTATACCGGGGGAAAGTAAATCACGATTTCCGTGCCCATGTCCTGCCACATAGCGGAACATAACTTCCCTTTTCCTGTGTCACGATGTGAAACAATATTCGATGCCTTTGAGAATAATATTAAATCTGAGCTTTTTGGGCACAAAATCACTTTCAAAGTTTTATATTCAAATTTAATATTCGTAATAACATTTTATAATAGTATAATTTTACCAACAAAGCAAAAGTGTAAATATACTTTATACGTATAAAATAAAATATTCTACAACTGCGCGCTATACTTGTTCACTGCAAAGAAAATAAATTTTGTTATAATTTAAATATAAATTTTTAAAATGCAATAAC